ACCTCATCTCCACAAAAAAGTGAAAAAATTATTTGGGTGTGGTGATGTGCACCTATAGTCCCCCCCACTCTGGAGGCTGAGGTGGGAGGATCACTTAAGTCCAAGGGGTCCAGCCTGCAGTGAGCTGTGATTGTGCCACTGCACTGCAGCCTGAGTAATAGAGTGAGACCCCAACTCAAAAAAACCCCAAAATGTTTAGGTATGTAGAAAAAAATAGTAAAGTGTGACCAATGAAGAGAATAAAAAAACCCAACCAACCAAAACGTAGTAATTTTACAGAATATAAATTAGTAAGCAAGAATATTAGAAGGATTATTATTATGTGTCATATATAGCTAGTTAAGGGCCTATATAGAAAACCTACAGCTAATACCATATGTGATGGTAAAAGGCTGAATGTTTGTTACTTAAGATCAAAAACAAGGCAAGCATATCTGTTCTCGCTACTTCTCTTTAAAATTGTACTAGCCAATACATCTCAACCCTATGTTAAGTCTGCAAAAAATGAATTAAAGTCATTAGATTATGATGGAAGAAGCAAAACTGTCTTTATTTGCAGGTGACATGATCATATGTGTAGAAATCTTATGGAATCTAAAAAATTCTACTCTAATAAAAAAAAGTTTAGAAAAGTTGCAGAATCCTAGATAAATATCTACATATTAACTTCCTTCTATAAGCTAGCAATAATTAGACATGTGATTAAATAATATCATTTACTATAGTAACTAAAATTATGAAATACTTAGGAATCAATCACATGAAAGATATGTAAAACCTGTGCACTGAAAAATACAATGTATTGCTGAGAAAAATTAAATAAGGCCAAGGCAAGAGGATTGCCTAAGCTCAGGGATTCGAGACCAGCCTGGGCAACTTGGCAACACCTCGTCTCTACAATAAACCAAAAAACTTAGTCGGGCGTGGTGACCTGTACCTGTTGTTCCAACTACTTGGAAGGCTGAGTCAAAAGGATCACCTGAGCCTAGCAGGTCAAGGCTGTGGTGGCCATGAACATTCCCCTGCACTCCAGCTTGGCAACAGAGTGAGACTCTAACCCAAAAAAAAGAAAAAAGAAAAGAAAAATGAAATAAACCCTAAATAAAGGGAGAGGTATACTGTATTGTGGGTCAGAAGACCAATATTGTTAAGATGCCAATTCTCCCTACATTGATTTATAGAGCCAGTGTTGTTCCAATCACAATTCCAGTAGGATTTTGTAGAAATTAGCAACCTAATTCTAAAATATATATGTAAAAGCAAGGACATTACCATAGCCAAAATAACTTTTAAAAAGGACAACATTGGAATGCTAACCTTACATGATTTCAGGATATAAAGCTACAGTAATGAAGCAAGTATGCTATTGAGAGTCTAGAAATAGACCCACACACATATATAGTCTATTGATTTTCAATGAATGTGCAAAGGCAATTTGCAAAGTATGCTTTTTCTTTTCAACAAGTAATGCTACAAATATTTGATATGCAAATACACACTATTGACTTCAATTCATACATCACACCTGGTACAAAGTTAACTCCAAATGGATAGACCTAGAAAACAGGAGAAAATGTGTCCTTGGGCTAAGCAAAAGTTCATAAATAGAACACCAAAATCATTATTCATAAATGGAAAAATTGTTGCCTTGAAGTTCCTTAAAATTCAAAACTTTTGTTCTTCCAAAGACATTGTTAAGGGAATAAACAGGTGAGTCACAAAATGAGAGAAAATATTTACAAAATACATATACCACAGTAGACTTTTATTTAAGATTATAATTATAAGAGATTAATCAACCCAAATAAAAGATTGTTTTAGCAGGAATTTTACTAAAAATGTATGATGGCAAAAAGGCATTTGAAAAGATGCTCTACATCATTACTCAATAGAGAAATTAAACTTAAAACCACAGTTAAGTGCCACTACATACCAATTGGTATAGCTTAACCGAAAAAGCAAAACAAATAAACAAAAACTGAAAGTAACAAATGTTGGCATGGTTTTGGAGAAACTGGAACTCTCATACACTGATGATGAGAATGTAAAGTGATTCAACCCATTTTAGAAAATAGATTGGTAGGCTTTTAAAAATATAAACATCTATTATGTGACGTAGTCATTTCACTCCTAGATATTTTCCCAAGAGAAATGAAAACATGTGTTCACTCATATATTTTTATATGAATATTCTTACCAGCATTATTCATAATAGCCAAAATTGAAAATAAGCCAAATGACTATCAACAAGGAATGGATAAACAATAGATTGCATGCAATGGAATACTACTCAGCAATAAAAAGTAATGAACTGTTGAGATATACAACAGCATGAATAAATATCAAAATAGCTATGCCAAGTGAAAGAAATCAGATCCAAAAAATTAGATACTGTATGTTTTCTCTTACATTAAATTTTTGACTTTTCAGCTAATTCCAATGATAGAAAGTAAATAAGTAGTTGCTTGTTATGGAGACGAAACATTTGGGGGTCATGAATTACTTGAATATGGTGCTGGTTTCACTAGTATATACATAATGTCAAAATTTAACCCAATTGTATATTTTAAATATATGCAGTTTATTGTGTAAGTTATACCTCTCAATAAAGCTATTTTAAAAAATAAAATAAGAGCTAAATATTTCTCCTTCTTATGGGAGGTTAGTAGATAATATCTAAAACTGAAAAAAATCAAGACTTTGAAATAGGTGTGCAATTTAGGGATATGAAGTTTAAATACCAAAAGGAATCAGCTAAAAGTTGATAGCAATTTTTTTTTCTAGAAAGCAGAAATTATTTGGGACAGGGTGGAGCCAACATAAAGGACTTCTGTTTTCATTAAAAAAAAGAAAAGAAAAGAGAAGAAATTTCTTTTTCAAATTACGTACATCTATAACTTTGATTTTCAAAAAAATACCGTATTTTAAAATGGGTAGGGAAAAGAAAAGGCTTACTCGTAGAACGAGTTTATCCTGTCTCATTTATCTCTATAATTAATTTATCAGAGTGGGAATAAGGGTGACTTTAGTTTAGTCAGATTAGATATTAAATGTTGAATTTTATTTGATAATTGAGTGTTTTTCACTTCTCTGCTGTTATGGAGCTATCAGAGTAGTAAAACCCAAAATATTTATCCTAAAAGGCAGAACAAAACGATTCTCTTCTCTTAAAACTTGTTTTGTAAAGATTAATTAAGCTTCTGTGTAGTTATTTTCTGTACTTTATTGATTCAGGATTACTTGTACTCTGTAAATGTGTTGAATTATTTACACATCATGGGCAGCTAATGCTAATTCAGAACATACCCAGTGGGACCTCAGAGCCCTGAAATGCTAAATGTAATCTAGGGATCAGTAACATTCCATTCATAAAATGTGTCACCCACGGGTTAATGGAAATAAACAATAGGAAAGATAATGGGTGGATTATGCAAACACACTGAAAAGATTAAGCAGGGGAGGGGACTACAAGAACCCAATTTGTGATTTATTTAAATGTGGATTAACATTTATAGTATACAAAGTGATTAAAGGTACTTTGATAATTTGCTAATGCTCTAAAAAGCACCACTGCACAAGAGAAACTATAAAAATAAATTGTTTGTACCTTTTTTGCCTGGGGAGAGGGCAATGGGGTACATAGAAGCAAGATTATGCAAGGAAATTTTTAGTTGTAAATGAAATGATAAATACAGTATTCTATAAAAAAACTAGAAAAATGACTAGAAAAATGACTAGATGTATAGAGCATTTACTTGCATTTGTCTGAGACTAATGAAAGTTTCACAAAATTAAAACCCAATCCTAATATAAACTCAACTGTTGCTCTGTTTAAAAAGAAAGGGAGAAAGCCATCTCTTTTTTTATTTAAAATTTGGTCCTGTAAAACAAATTAAACAACACATATGTACTTTTTAGGGCAACCTATTCAAATTACAGGGGGAAAAAATTTGCTTTATTTATTTAATAAAATGTATTTAATAACATTTATTTTAATTTTATTAATATTTAATTTATTTGACAAATATGTCCACTAAGTCCCTGAATAATGGAAAAGGACATGGACATAAGTAAACTTCTTTCCAAGTTTTTAGGTTGCAGATTTCTAAGTCAGAGCAAGGTGGCATTGTAAAGATAACCCAGATGCCTGTCACACTTGATCTTGGGGCTGAAACTGCCGTCCTGCAACGGGATGCTTTGCTGAATCTGGTTCAACAAAGCAAGGAGCTGCAGAAGAATGAAATGGCCCTGGTCTTCAGTATTCTTGCAAATTGACCTAAAGAGAGACCCCCTTGTAAAGAGCAAGCAACCTGTTACCACCATGTGACAATGAACTTCTGATTGGCCCACTCACGCTCCCAGCCTAGTTTGACCCTGATTTCAGAACATCCCTGTAACCTGCCCTCCCTTTGTTGGTGTGTAGTAGGAACGCATGGGCCCAGAAAACTTGGGACAAATGACTCTGCTGACTAAAGAACTGCAGAGGATTTGCGTGTGTTGTGGGGTGGGGTGGGGGGATCGAAGAGTTAGGCACCATGGCAAATGTCAGCAAAGGGAAGAACGGGAAGCTTGTCTGTCCTAGAAGTTATGTCTGTGGCACTTGTGGCCACCTGAAACCACACATAGCTATGAGAGGAAATGAGGGAAACTATTTCATTTTCTCTTGGAGTTTAAGTAACAACAAACCTTAAACAAGAAATTATTGGGAAATGCATGTTATCTGTTTACTCGTGACCTTTGAGGTTCTTTTTTTGTTTTCTGTATTCTTTTAATACATAAATCAAAACTTTGAGAACCTTTTCATCACAGTTTACTCCTGTATTATTTAAGACTTTGAAATCATGGGGTTAGGTAAAGTTTAGCTGTTAAAAATTTTCCTGGAGGAGTTGATGTGCTCATTTCATTGTTCTCCACTAATGCCAAGTAATATAAGTGGGAATCATTTAGCAGTGTTGGTTATTAAATGTTTGGGTTTTTTGTTCCTTCTTTTGTTTTTAAAGGTACTGTTTTCCCTTTGGACGACCTGAAGGTGCTCTAAAAGCTACACTTTCATTACTGGAAAGGGTATGTTGGAACATGACTTTATAAATGTTATTTGCTTTCTCGATTGCTGTGTATTTCAGTTTTTAAACTAGGCAGACAGTCCCATGCCCCTATACTCTTTACCAAGTCATATTTCATGAATATTTCACCTTCATTCAAATTCTCCCTCTACCTCTTCTTTCTTTCTAAAGCCTACCACTGCTATTTTATTCTGAGATTATGGCATCTTTTTTATAGTATCCATCTTTCCTACCTTTTTTTCCCTTTGTAAAATTGTCTCTTTTCAGTTAAAAACTGTCTCTGCTTTTCTTCACAGTTGTCTTTTATTTTCCCCCCAACTTTATGTTCTTTAAATGAATTCACACATTGTAGAAATGTATTTTCCCTTAAAAAATAACTAACACACAATATTTTAAATTTATGCTAAAAAATTATTTTTAATGGAAGTATATTCTATTTTTATGGCAGTTGAATTTGAAAGAGAAGTATTATTCTGTGTTCATATGCTAGCTGGATGCTAACTGTTAAGTGATGTTGTCAACTCCTATGCCTTATCAGAATTAGAAAGAATTTCTAGGCATCATCTATAGCTCATAATTTGATTATCTGATCCTGATTTATTGACATTAAGTACTTGATCTTGTCCATTTTCTGCCAGATTCATTTTAGATATTACATTGTTTATTAGCATCTCTATGAAAACAAAAAGAGGAGACTGTTCGGACATTGCATCTCTAGTTCAGTGATTTAAGAACTTGAAGGATGAGGGTTAGAACTGATGATTACAATGAGATTTTAGGATTACAGATTGATTTTATTTCTATATCCCTATCTTATCCCTGATTGCTTTGCATTGTATGATAGAAATATTATTGTCGTAATTATGTTTTGTTAGAGTTTTTATGACACTGAAAGCTGTACATAACTCAGATTTTTCACAGTATTCATTTCATCCTATTTATTACTGTACTGTGGACAAATAGAATCCTTAAAGATTGCTTTACTTTTTGGAACAGCATCCCATCGTGGGTACCTAGTGCAGCCTCTCTGTGTCCTGGTTTCCATGGCAGAGGCTCCTTCCTCCCCACAGCAGGGAAGACTTAGTTAATCACAGAGATGCCCTGGTGCCCTGCATTGACAGGTGGCAGGATGAAGAGGGACCTTTATTCCAGTTATAATCACTAATCACATCTCTTGCTGAATTGAGAGAGAAATGTTAAGGGCCATTTCTTCATTTTTATGCCTCTTTTCTTACTGACATGGAAAAATTAAACAAAATCTACATGTGAATTTATGAATCCTGCAATACCTTGGAATAACATGGGAGGAAGCATGAAACAGAGATTGGCGTCTCCCTTTTTGCATGTGCCAGCTCTTTACCTGCATTTGCCAGGAAAGAAGATTCAGTTTCTCCCATTCCAACTCAGTGCTTAGCTCCTAGATAATAGGAAAGATTGCCTGATTTAAACCCTAGACTCAATTCACTGGCAAACATATGCATCCTGATTTTGACAGCCATTTCTGTTATTTAAAGTCTGTCATCATAGGAAGTATAATAGTAAAATTCATGATTCTGCATATGGAACAAATTAATATTAAAATAAAATTCAAGGAATAATATTTAAAAGTGTGTTTTTAATGAATACCTAGTTTTTACTGTGTGCAAAAGTATTTTTCTGCTGCAGAGTCTAATGTGCATATAAGTGCCAAATATATGTCAGAATAATGCAGAATAATTGAATTTGATAAAGGGAGAAAAACTTTAATAATAAAGTTTGCTGTTTTCAAAGAAGAAAACCTTGTCCAATAAATTTTTTAAGATATTGTTAATGAGTAGCCTTTAAAAAATGTTGTCAAGGATCACTACTTGGATGATTGAATAAATTAGACATTAAGTCCTTAGTTCTGAGGAAGACTGAAAAGAGAGTGAAATAATAAAGTATGAATGGATGTTTTCATGTTCTTTCAATATTCCTTTCAAAATAAAAGACTAAGACTAAGAGAATAGTTTGAGTACTTGCAAAAGTATTATCTTCTCTGTATTAACATTCTGCCATATATTTTACAAATGGAATGTAAATAGAGGAAGAAAAATTGCATTACCTATATGGAAAAATAATTTGACAAGTAGTGTAATCAAAACTTATTGTGAGCAGTTTTATCATCAAGAAAGCTTTAAAGAAAATTATCAATGAGTCTGTATAAAAGAGTTTAAATATATTATATCTTGAATTCTGGATATAATTGTATTTTCCCCTTACCCTGTAATAAAACTTTTTAAGAAGAAATTCAAAAACACATTTTAAGAATCCAGCAGAGAATAATGTTATTTTTTCAAAACCACAGAAAGTTTCCTGTATCTTAGCATTTGATACCTTGTAAGCATTTGTTTCACTAAGACAAAGAGGTTTTTGTCCCCCCTTTTTCATAAGCTGCCATGGTGTCTTCAGCAAATCACAAATGATCCAAGTTTAATTAGTGAGAGTAGAGGTCTTGACTTTTTTAGGGCTCAGGAATTATGTTTATTCTTAATGGAATTTTTGTTATCATTTGCTAATAGAGTGGTCAAAAGACTTAAGACTTTTAGGTTTAGGGATGTACAAGACAAACTATTACTTGTCCCAAGAACTGTAATTTTGATCTGAAACAGCTGCTCTAATAGTGTCGTGGGTCCCTGGAGGAAAAGTGACAGTCACACTGAATGGTGGCCTGGCCTAGGGTAGGTTTTGATGTGCATAAATGAGGTTTAGACAGGAGGAGGAGTCAAGGTTAGAGGATTACAATCCCAGTTGTGAAGTGCCGACTCATTACTTTCCCCCATGGCACCTAGGACCCTTTCCTCTTCCTAGTAATCGTTCTGCGACAATTTGTGTAATTTGTCTATAGTATTCATTTTATACAACATCTATCTTTCTCTCTGTCTGTCACCCCCATCCCCCTCCTTCCTCTCTTGGTAGGTTTTAATGAAAGATATTGCCACTCCCATACCGGCAGAAGAGGTGAAGAAAGTGGTCAGAAAATGTCTCGAGAAAGCTGCCTTGATCAATTACACTAGACTCACAGAATATGCCAAAATAGAAGGTCAGTGCAGTGAGCAATTGCCGAAGTGGCAGTTAGAGCCAACAATGCATATTAACTGAATTTTCTATGAGAAGGCCTTTCCTTTCCTGAACAATCCTGTACCATGGCAAAGGGAAATGTCTCATTAAAATCTCAGCTGGTGAACTTAAGAGCTTTTTCCTATTCATTGCTTTAATATGCCTCCTGGGACTCTGCTTGAATGAAAGACCCAGGATTCGTGCTTAAGTTGTCCTTTGTTCTTATGTTGAGTTTTCAAGAAGCCAAAAGGTGTTTTCATGGGTTGTATTTTTTGGCATTACTGTAAGTATGTCTAACATTTAAACTACAGGCAGTAGATTCTTTTCTGATCCATAACCATGTAGTATTGCATAAGTTTGTTTTGTCTTCTTCAGTGTCACTCAGAGAAGGAGGAAACTTGTTGATTATTGTAAGGGCTGAAATAAACTGATAGAACTTCTTGCCGTTTTTAATTGCTTGCAATATATTGATGCATTTGGAAGATTAGATCTCTTGAGAGGAATGTGCATTTTTTTTCTCTTTCTTCAGGCTTTATTCATTAAGGATAGTGGTATTTCAAATGTTTAGAAATAAGTGAATTAGAATTTGTGCCAAAGTCACAAAGTCAGCTTTTATTGCACAGTTCTTTGATTTGTGTAATTAAAAGTAACAGAAAAGGCTTCACATGTTTTCATTTAAATTATCATAAAACTGCCTTATATAATAATACATGTAGCATTAACTGGGGTAGAGAAAAAGGTTGCAGTTAATGTTAAATACTTCTGAAAATGGAAAGTAAGTCATCCTTTAGAAAAAATTTAGTAACTTTTAATATAAAATTGTACTTAATGAATCATACATTTATGAATTAGTTGATATTAGGATAGTTTTATCAAAATTCATCTAGTGAAAAAAATTAATTATAATTGTGTTATTATTCCTTTTTTCTTTCCAAATCTGGTCAAGCTTTCTAACAAGCATGTGACAACCAACCTCCTGAGTGATTAACAAAAAAGCCATCTCATCACTATAGCAACCAATATTATATCACAAGAGTAACAACATGAAACCTCCTTAGTTACCAGTTTAACATCATTAATTATGATATCATGTTGTGTTAAAGCAAAAGCAATGAACATGCGATCATTTGGGGCAAGTGGAAGATAAACACATTGGTTTTCAATTTTGAGGACTCATTCAAATAATTTTCACGTTTAGGGTATACTGGGTGTTCTGAACATAGATTGAAAGAATTAATATAAAAAGAGACATAGTAAAGTCTTTCAAATCTGGCAAAGAGAGAATAAGTTTCTAGACAACTTAAATAAGCAAAATATTGTTTTATATCAATATTATAGACTATATAAAAAATACTTTAAGAATCCTTTTGTTCTTAATTGTCTGAGTTAATATTTTGTACCATTACCTTATCCAAGAACACAGAAAAGATATGCAGTATATTTCTCTGTTTGTCTCTGCACTTTATAGTCAGAGAATCCTTCTTAATATGGATAAAGAACTTTATTTTATTTATACACAGAAAAACAAGTCTGTGTTAGAGAGAAGCCTATGGTAAGGCCAAATGGACAGTGAGCAAGGAACTCTCTCACCTTTTCCCTTTCTGAAATCACCCCTCTTTTATCTCTAGTCTAATGGGAGAATATTCTAGAAAATGAATTCTAGCAAATGACTCTGGTAGAAATGCCAACCAGTATTCTTTTTAAAAAACAAACTGCTTACTCAATAAATGAGAAAAACGTCTGTGCTTTTTCATTATTTGTCTCTCCCTTATAGCATACTTTTGAAAAATATTTTCTAAAAAATACATTTTTGTGTTATGCTCAGGACCAGGCCAAGAACCAAATCAAATTTAAGTTAGAAATAAGAAGTAGGCTATTTTTTCTTTGCTTTGTTGGCCTTCTGCATTATGTGAGCAATACAGGTAGAGCTTGTTTTTCTCCTAAATTCTCTTTTCTTATGTTTTAGGACCAGCAGAAAAGGAAACAGGTAATTCATATGTCTGCATGCATGCGCCATTATTTCTCATGTGGTGGCATGATATTTTTTAAACCTCTTTGCTGAAGTATGATTGACAAACAAGCTGAATATGTATATGGCTAACGTGTACCACTTGAAGAGCATGGAGAAAAATATATATCCGTGAAACCGTCATCACAATTTGTATCACAACCTGTTCATCACCTCCAGAAGTTTCCTCACACTCTCTTGATTATTATAATAACCATTAATACGTTGTGATTAAAAAACTGAACTTAAGAGCTACTCTCATAGCAATTTCCATGTGTGTGATACAGCATTGTTACCATAGGCACCCTACTGTACAGCAGGTCTCTAGGAGTGACTTCTCTTGCATACCTGAGACTCTGAACCCTTTGATTACTGCTTACCCATGTTCTCCTGGCAATCACTGTTCTACTCTCTGCTTCTGTGAGTTTGACTGTTTTACAGTCCTCATGTAAGTGGTATCATGCATTATTTGTCCTTCTGTGACTGGCTAATTTTACTAATAAGCCAGGATTTCCTTCTTTTGTAAGGCTGAATCCTGCAAGTGGTGGGATTTCCTTCATTGGATGTATATACTGTATTTTCTTAATCCATTCACCTGTCCATGGTCATTTGGGTTGCTTTCGTGTTTTGGTTATAGTCAATCATGCTACAGTGAACATGGAAGAGCAGATATTTCTTTGAGATCCTGATTTCAATTCCTTTGAATAAATACCTAAAAGTGAGATTGCTGAATCCGATGGTAGTTCCATTTTTAAAATTTTTCCAGGAACTCCCATATTGTTTTCCACAGTGGCTGCCCCAAATTACATTCCCACCAACAGTATATAAGGGTTCCCTCTTCTCCAAATCCTTGCCAATACTTACTGTCTTTTGCTTTGTTTCTTTTTTAAAATAATAGACAGACTAACAGATGTAAGGTGATAATCTCACTGTGGTTTTGATTGCATGTCCCTGAACATTTGTGATGTCAAGCACCTTTTCATATACTTGTTGACCATTCATGTATCTTTTGAGAAATGTATATTTAGCTCCTTTTTAAGTTGGGTTATTTGGCTTTTTGCTATCAAGTTGTAGGAGTTTACTTATAAATTTTGAATTGTAACCCTATATCAGCTATAGTGTGTGCAAATATTTTCTCCCATTCTGTAAGTTGCCTCTTCATTTTGTTATTTCTTGTGCTGATGTCTGTGTGATGTTTTATCTTGATGAATAGCTCTCTCTTGTTCAGGAGTTCTACTAGATCATTTTGATAAGGAGACTGAGAATGTCTTTATTTTATCAGAACTATTGCTAATGTTTTGTAGAGAAAGAATAGTCCATTTATCTCTAAAGGTTCACAATATTTGTTGATAGAAATTCAAAGCAAAAAAGCTGGCAGTGTTAATGGTGTACATTATGTTTTAAGCATGGACACTAATCTTATTTGGAAGCTGTCACCAATATTTGAAGGGCTCTTACAACTAGAAAAGAGGACCATCTTCCTTTGTCGCTCTCAAAGATAACATGAGGATAAAAAGCAAAAATGCTATTAAATAAAAAGTAAGCAGTTATTAACTTTGAAAGTTGTTAATCATGGGAATGAGCAGAGGTTATGAAATCCCACTCTCAGGAAATTGCTAGGAAAGAGTTCTTCTCTGAGTCGCTGAACTGTTAAAGGCTTTATTACATTTTTTCTTGTACCCCTTATTACAATTGCAATTAATTTAACCACACATGCCTTTATCTGTGTATAATGCAGGCAGGGTCCTCCCTGACTTGTTCATGGTTGTAGCCCCAGCACCTAGTACCGGACCTACTGGCACCAAGTAGGCACTCTGGACTTTGGAGAGAGGCAAGAGGTTAGTTATTTCCATCTGAATACAATAGAGCAAGGGACAAGTGATGAACCTTCCTAGTCCTAGATTTCTCATTTTAGTCAGATTTTGTATATAATGTTAGAAACAACTTTGCTTGGGTTGTTCTTAACTGGTCTTCCATTAAGGACCCTATTTCTCTTTTTTGTCCTACCTTTTTCTATTATTTTTCTATATCTGACCCCAGAAAGTGACAGGAACAAAATAGTCAGAGCCATGAAAATGGGAAAGAACACACACATCACAATCGGCTAAGTACACTTTAGGATAAAGAATTTTTTTTGAAAAAAATAAGATATTATCATCCCCTCTTACAGTTAACCCATTGCAATATCACCAATCCCTTGCTCTGTAACAAATTTTTTTCAAAACCTCTTATGGCATTTTATCCCTACAACATTCCTGTTGGGAAAACAGTTTCTTTCATAGTTTACAAACAAGGAGTCCAGGACTGTTCATAGCTTTCCCACTGCCATGGAGCTAATAAGTCAACCAGCTGGGACTAGACTCAGATGCCCTGATCCCTAACCTATAGAAGCTGCCCTCCTTCCCCTGTGAAATATGCAAGGGTCACAGTGTGCTTCATGAAGCATGGGGCAGTTGCCCTTTGTAGAGTCGCCAGCTCCAGATAAAGAGAGGAGGGAAGAAGTAAAGAGTTGTCTCACCATGTCCCTGGCTGCCACCAGACCGGGGTTGGGGGAGGAGATCCCTTCATACTTATTTAGCATCCATAACATTCAACTGTTCAGGTCTGCAACTCTAGGAAAAATACTCTAATTATAGTCAAATGCTTGTGTAGGAAAGAGAAAAATCAGTGTCATATCTGTGACTTAAGTGAACTGAAGGGAAAGCTAATTTCAATTGAAGAATGTTCTGAAGTAATAGAAGAGGGTTTTTATTTTTTTAATGGAGTTATAGTTCTTTAATTGCATTTGTCAGCAAGTTAACCTAGCAGGGTTTCCTAGTAATATTATGGGGGGTGGGGTTGCTTTTAACAGTGGGTAAAAACAAAAACGTCGATTGCATGTATAAGAACTCAAATGCTTGATAATACTTTCAAGCAGTGGTCTGTTGAGCACTGTAATCATTTTTCTCTGTCTGTTTATACCCTCTAGAAAAGAGTAAAATTCTAACCAAAATTTGTCATAACTTTATCTATTGACTGCCTGTGTGCCCCAGAGGCTATTTATTTGCATCACTTCATTTGTTCCTTAAACAATACTATGAAATAGATATTTTACAAAATAGGTCACTGAGACTTTCAAAAAAAAAAAAATAACCCGCACAATGTCCTGCTATTGCCATTAAAATTTAGCAGATGAGGGATTCACACTCGTGTCTCTTAAACAGCAGAACCCTCTTCATACTTTTTTCACTGGCTATCAAGCCTCTCAGACTGTCTGAATCCAAGTCACGTTGTTTTGTGATAAACACCTCAACTACATCCTAAAAGCCAAGGGTTAAAATTCATAAGGCTACTCTTGCCAAAAAGACAGTTATTTATTAAGACCAAACACTTGTATGCCAGGCACTATTTTTAGCACTTTGTATGTATTAACTCATTTACTCCTTACAGCAACTCTTTGCCATAAATATTACTATTATTCCTTTTTCAGAAGACTGAACTGTACAACTAGCTTGTCTACAGTCACAGAGCTAGTAAGGGGGAGGTCAGAGACCACTGTATATCCACTGATCTCTCTTCTTACCTCCCTCTCTCTTTTTCCCTCTTGACAAGCTTGTCTAGTTAAGTTTGCACTCAGTTAAAATCTTTTTTGTTTATTTTTCCCCATGCATCTCACAATGTCAAGGTGTTGAAAGTGATTAACATTTGCAGATCCCACCTCAACCCAGAAGGTTCCTCCCCATTCCCTGCTTTATTATTTTTTTTCCACAGCACTTATGATGATCTAACACACAATATAGTGCATTCATCCCATGCACAAGGAGGGATCCCCAAAAACCCGGAACTAATTTATTAAAAATTGTGAATTTATTCTTACATGTTTAAACTTCAGCCACTTCAGCCTTCTCAGAACATCCCTATAAAAACTTGAGTTTACCATTTGCAGCACAATTTATGGAAGAAACACCCCAAGTTGTGGCAAACAGGTGACTGGTTCTTCCACCATGACAATACACCTGCTCATACCATGCTGAATTTTCAGCAGTTTTTAACCAAAAACGGCATGACCCCCATGCCTCACCCTTCCTATTCACTGATCGTGCCCCAAGTGATATTTTTTTGTTTCCTCAGATTTTAAAAAATGACCTCATAAGGCAATGTTTTGCTGATACGGAAGAGGTGGGAACACAAAACAGCAGAAGCACTAAAAGGCATTAAAATTAATGAGTTTAAAAATTGTTTTGAGCAGTGGTAGATGTGTCTCAATAGCTGTATTGCAGCACAGGAAGAAATCTTTGAAGATGACTGAAGTTTAAACATGTAAGAATAAATACACAATTTTTTATAAATGAATTCCGATTTTGGGGTGTCTCCCCTAGTAGACAGAGGGCCAGGCACGGTGGCGCAAGCCTGTGATCCCAGCACTTTGGGGATTGCCTAAAGGGGGGATTGCCTGAGCCCACAGGTTCAAGAACAGCTTGGGCAACTTGGCAAGGCAACTTGGCGAGACCTCATCTCTACAATAAACCAAAAAATTAGCCGGGCATGGTAACACGCGCCTGTAGTTCCAGCTACTTGGAAGTCTGAGGTAGAAGGATTGTCTGAGCCCAGCGGGTCGGCACTGGGGTGGCCATGAGCATGCCACTGCACACTGCATTCCAACCTGGGTGATGGAGTGACTCCAACTTGGAAAAAAACAAAAAAATAATGTGACAGAGGATTTTGTATTCTAACAGGTGCTATGTCCACAATGCCAAGATAAGTGCCTGGCATGTAGTTGGTACTTAATAAATATTTATTGAAGAAACAAATGAATTTGTGGCACAGATTTATCAGAATACTTACAGCAGAGATGAGATCCATAAACTGGCAAGCTGGCTTGTAAAAGATCATTCAAACCAATCACTGAATAATTAAGATATGGGGTAAAAACTACTTTTAAAAAAAATGATTGGAAACAATAAACCGTAATTTCCTGCCCTTGTCATGGCAGAGAGAAG